CAATGAAACATTGTATAATGAAATATCTAAGATTCGCTGGATTTCCTTTGTGGAGCTTGAAGGTTCTGTTACAACCCTCTAAGAGTCAGGTCAGAATACTAAGTGAACAAAAGTACACAAGAAGCTGCACGTTTAGTAGTTCGTGGAAGTTTACGAAGTGTTGGGTAGGGCATGTCAAATAAGGGGTTTGATATTATCCTGATAGCGAATCTTTACCGTGCATTATTATAATCAAACCCAAGGACTAAACCCACAAGGCTCATACAGCCCTTTACCGCGTAACAATTGCATTTAGGTTAGGGATTATCTTCCTTTGCAACTATCTAGTTAGTAAATTTAATTTTAAAATGTCATTACCAGTAGAGACTTCAAGAGGAATTTCAGAAGTTTCACAAGCTAGGCTGTGATGCTCATGTTGTACTATTGCGACTGACTAACCAGGTCATTAATTAACCAGGAGACCTGGTCAAGGAACAAAGCCATTACTTGGTATGAAAGTCTTAATTAGCTGGCTGTCTTAAATTTATCAAGTACCTCGTTTGTGGCGTCGTTTCACGTGTTGACAGCCAGCCATTAAAAATTTATATTTTTTTTTTTCTTTTATTTAGCAAAGACCATTACTGGATGTTTGGGATCATTTACGTTAGTAATGAAGACCGATTATGCTGCCTTGAATGACGCTAATGTTTATTACTCTTGTAACACAGGAGTAGGATTGAAGTCATTGTCTAAGATGAGACATGCAAGTTGTCTTATGGTAATGTCAAATGAACTAAGTCAAAAACAATCCAACGGAATATTAATAGAAAATTATATTACTGATGGTATACAATATCGACAAGTCGAGGAATGATATATTGCAACTCTTGGGATCTTTATTACCCAATCGTTTCACCAATACAGATATCCAAGTGTCATGAGTCTTATTTATAGGTTACTGATTATTTTATTTTGTCTTTTTACTATGACATTACTTATGTCCCATTTAGGTCTAGATTTATACAGCTAGTTGTACGCAATCTTAAAAAAAATAGTTCACATTATTAAAGAACAAGTCAGATAATGGTTGTGAAAAGATCCTTTATATACATGAAACTGGGAAAATCCGGCCTCCTCAGAACATAAGAACGTCTGGGAGAGCTGGGGATTTAAACGATTAGCAAAGAGGATTGTTACGAGTGGCGATTAGTAGTTTTAAAACTGTCTTATAACACAGCATTTGAGCAGGATTACTACTCTTAGGCGAATTTCACCAGAAAGAAGCTTCTTGACGCTGGGGAAGAGGCTCCTGAATCAAAGAATTGGAGGTGGCTTCCCCTTGCGGATCTTCCCTTCCAAGTATCACATCTGATTAGTACCTCAGTTCCCCGTTTTACGAACCCTACGAGGTGAGCGCTCCCCAGTCATGAATGCAATATTGTAAAAAAAAAAAAATTGGTTATTTGTTACAGACGTTGTTTCAAGGCTTCAGAGAAATAACTGTTGTAGTACCCTGTACAAAAAGTCCCTGGCTAGACTGAGTTAAAAGTTAATTATGCCTGTAGCTTAAAGTGATGGTGCATATAAAGAATTCATTGGCAATACTTAATTATACAATGACTATGCATGTGAATAACTAAGACAAAAGCAGAGCTGACCTCAATGTTTTAGGTCATGGCGAATGAGTCGCTAGAATAAATAACTGGTAAAATTATTGGAGAACATCCATGTGATGTCTAGTGGGCACAGACAATGAAGCCGTCATGAGGCAGACATGAACAAGCCACACACACACGCCCACCTTGCCTCGCACAACAAGCGTGGGGAAACTTATAAAATCTTGCTAGTGGTCATAAATTTCCTCGGTAATGCTAACACGGTTCCTGGCTTTCTTGCTACCAACTTGCTGTGTGCATTACACTACCCACCACAGTCATGTGATACGCGGCTACTGACATTTAAGCTGGTATTGCGTGAGCTTCCACGGGAACCCATGACGCTCCTCTACTGCTGCTGATAAATACGTATAATCATATTCAGAGCAATTAAATATTATGGGAAATCTTTAAGTGGTGGTAGTTACTTAAAACACAACTTGTGCTTTATAGAATAAACCAAAATGATAATAAAATGACGAGAATACTGGAAAATGGAGGCAACTGCGGTAACCGTCGAGGTTGAGTGAAGTGGATGGTAATATAGCAACTCTGTCACTTCGTCCCAGAGGCGACTCTTGCTTCACTCTCAGTGCGAAAAAGACTTCGTTCATAATATATCAACTTGCGTGCAACGTCTAACTTCACGTATATCTAAACTCAACCCTTTCAAATACAAGTACACCCTGTTGCCTTGTAATTACCTCTGCTTATTTTGTTGACTGGATTAAACTGGTCAAGTGAGTCATGCCATCCAGGCTCATTATCTGAAGCACCATTATATGAACAAAGAACAAGTACGCTGGAAGTATCCTAATATAACATTCAATACTTAGTAGACAGGCATTGGCAGTTGCAAAGAGAAAAAGAGAAAGGGAAAGAAAAAAAACGAAAGACCTGATTTAGGCAACAGCTTTTTTTTTTTGCTTGTAAATGAAGGTAGGAACCCTTAACCTAACCTTGTAAAACCATTTGGCAAGAGGGGAAGGGGAAAAAAGAGAAGAGGAGAAAAGAGCAGCCATTCACACACACGCTACCCTGGAGGCTGCTGACTCAACACTACTAACTGCCGTTATAGCACCAATGGTCTATTATCATGCTTCCTGCAACACTGTTGAACAAGTATGCCACGCGTCGACTGGCTGCAAGCACCATGTCACGGTTGTGTTAAAAACATGTCACCGTTGTATCTGTGTTAGACAACACAATTTTTTAAAGAAATAATAAATCAAAATAAGGTTAAGGGTGTTTAGGACCTCCCTTGTATGCGCAAATCAAGTTTACGGCAGTGTTCATCATATGTAATATACTGGTATCATACACCTTAATCTTTACTAAGGAGAAGTTTCACCAACCAGTGGCTTTTTCCAGTCCAGAGAATAAATGCTGGAGACGATGGGTGAAGTGGAAATTTAATTTTGGAGGTGTACAGTCCCGCAGCCTCGAATTAAACGTTTGCAGCACCTGGGAATCTAAAATAAAGTTGTTTCGCCAACCAGTGACTATTAATTCAATAGAGGGTATTTGACGGTGTTGAGACGGGAGACAGCATCAGCTGGGGTATGGTAATTAAGAACTTCAGCCCTGATAACGTTCATCACCGTAGTCTTGATTAATCTAACTACAGTGGTTAACGTCATCTAGGCTGAGGGACTGATTACCTCTTCTTCTACAGTCTCCCGTTTCAACCTCTTCAATAACTCCAGATTAAACTGAAAAAAAAAATCTGGCTGGCGTAACGTCTTCTAATAAAGATACCCTGGTATTGCCTATGTGTAATTTATTAACTTTAATAATGCCATTACTGTTATCAAAGATACCAGATGTTGCACATGCATCTTACTGACCAACTACACCTAAGCAGTCTTGGTTTTATATTAACTGCCTTAAATAATGTATATATCAATTATTAAGCAAGACTGCAACGGAAGCAGCTTAATGATTTCTTTCTTCAGAAAACAACTACAAGTGGCCGAGCCTTGAGGATGAGGCTTTACACAAGTTAACTACATGTCACAACCCTGAGATGTAGTTGCCACACATTGCTCACTATTTTTTTTTTAACATCAACACGTGTACGCTAAGCTGCCAAAAATATTTCATAGTGCAATTTGGCAGATTTTTTTTTTTTTTTGCAGATACATTACAACCCATCAAGTGATTCTATACGAGCTAATCTTAAAAAGAATATCGCGAAATCAACATAGTAATGCAACAGTCAAACTTGCTACCATGTTTGTTATGAAGAATTCTCTCAGATAACCCCAACAAAGTGGAAGGTCAAATTCATATAGATGGAGCCAATTTTCAACGAAGCCAATTCTGCACATGTCAGCAAATACAGAGAGGGGGGGTGGCGGTGCATAATTAAATTATCACACCTTATAAACTTCCGGTACGAATTGATACGGAAAAAATGTATAGCATATCTGCTTTGCTTTCAAACTTTTAATCGTGACTTGGTAATTGTAAAGACAGAAACGTCGTCTGAAGCTTTACTCTCCAAATTGTAGGTTTGTAGAGTATTGCTTCAACCATTGTATTGACTATTTTGGTCAAGTTAATTAAAGGTTCATAACTTTAAATGTAAATATATTAAATATTTAATTCTAATTCACCAAATGCGACAATAAGTCCTTGTATGATTAAGGACTGACGCTGGGACCCACGAGCAGAGCTCAGCTGCTCTATTAGGCAATTAACAATGCTTGGGGCAGGAATCACCCAATCATAACGAATGGAAGGTAATTAAGCATGATCCAAAGAAGGGGTTTGGGCTGTTCCAACTCAGTGGATCATGGCACCATCCTTGGAGGGTAGGGACAAGAAGCACTTATCCCTCTGTTCCACAAGCCAAGAATTCAACCACCAACAGGATGCGACCCACATTCCTATTTACACACAGGTAACCTATTTATCGTTTAGTGAACAGGTGCAGTGAGTAAGGTGTTTTGTCTATACGTCTCTTTCCCCCTCCCCTCTTCCCCGCCCATGGTTCGGAGAAAATCAATCTTATAATTTTCTCCATTTACACTATGTGCATTGAGCCCTTTAAAATAACTGGATTGAAATCCAGTTATTGTTCCGTTATAAACAAAAGCTGTCAAAAATCAGACACGCAGAATTAACTTAAAAAAAAAAAAAAAAAAAAAACTTTTGAATTAAAGTACAGTGATGGCCATTAAATCTACATAATGCACTTAATAAAAAGTAAAAAAATTCCTAAATAAAAAAATAATCCTTTTGTCTCATCACTGGCAACTTAAAACCTTTGTTTAAGTGCTTTGAGCTCCACGGTCTTTCATATGATCTCAGTCACTCTTATGTTAAAACATTCACTAATGACGTGATTGTGTGTTTAGTTACCTGAGGTAGACGTAATAAGGATGTGGGAGAGTGTCCACTTCAGTCCGTTCAACTACACACTACAATCGTTCATGGTTAGCAACTGTACTTGTTTATCCTGCTTAGTTCAATAACTTCGATATAGTCTTCATGAAATCAATCGGACTACTGACCTGTTATAATGGCACTACACGACTAACACACGTTTGGAAGTCACAAAGACAGTACTCGTTATCACTCCCCAGAGGACGTAAATCCAAATGTGGCTGTGATGGAGGACACACACACACAGCCAGCCACAGTCAAGCTACGTACCATACTGAGGCAAGAGTGTGTCGACGACCCAACCACCACCACTACTAACCCTTCCCCCTATCACCCACACGCTTTCCCCATCACCATCCCAACCATTACACCCCCACACACTCTCCCTCACCCCTGAAAGACCACCTTGCTCTCAGCTGATCTACCCTTTACATCATCACTCCCCTACTATCACCAGCCCTCACGCCCTCTCTGCCATAGAAGCAAACCAGCTACCATCATCTACGCATTTCTTCATCTCCATTAACAACCATAGGTTTCCATGCTGCGGTGATCTGGCTCTCGGTTAGGTAAGGTTTCGTCAGGAAACAGGACACGTATTTCTTGACGTGGGTCTTAGATGATGACCAACCGTTAGAGCTTTGGGTCTTCTGACCGAGGCCTTCCGCTGGCTTACCCTTGAAATATTATGGTCATAGTTATAACCATTTAGTTACAGTATCTGGCTCTCTAACTTCGGACAAAACTGCCTACAAACAACTCAAACAAGGACAACAAGATGAAGACGTGTACTTCGATATTTGCTTAACAAAAAGCCACTGATGGTTACTTTCGATCCCAACAGAAAAACAGCTAAAAAATTCTGTACAAAGACAAAGAGTGGTAAATTGTACACAACCCCGCCCACTCAACCCCTATGATCCTCTTTTCTCAGGATGCGACCCACAGCAGTCGCCGTTAACACCTGGGTACCTACTAACTGTTTGGTGAATAAGAGCAACAGGTGAAAAGGAAACTTGTCCAACGTTTCAACTTGTTGCGGAATGAAACCAAGTTAATTCAGATGTAAGACGAAGGCCGTACCACTTGGAGAGTTAAGTGTGTAGACGGTTATGGCAAGTGACTGAGAGAGGGATTCTCCTCAGAACTATCTAGTGTGCAATCACGCACACTTGGAGGCTCACACCACACTGACGTCCACACTACACTGTAAGGCCCACACTACACTATACTGAGATACACTATACTACACTGTCAAACTCACACAACACTACACTGAAACCCATACTACACTTTACTGTGATACACTACACTACACTACCCTGTGACACACTACACTGTAAGGCCCACACTACACTGTGAAACACTACACTACACTGTGACACACTACACTACACTGTGAAACACTACATTACACTGTGACACACTACACTGTAAGGCCCACACTACACTACACTGTGACACACTACACTGTGACACACTACACTGTGACACACTACACTGTAAGGCCCACACTACACTGTGAAACACTACACTACACTGTGAAACACTACACTACACTGTGAAACACTACACTACACTGTGAAACACTACACTACACTGTGACACACTACACTACACTGTGAAACACTACACTACACTGTGACACACTACACTACACTGTGAAACACTACACTACACTGTGACACACTACACTGTAAGGCCCACACTACACTATGAAACACTACACTACACTGTGACACACTACACTGTGACACACTACACTGTAAGGCCCACACTACACTGTGAAACACTACACTACACTGTGAAACACTACACTACACTGTGACACACTACACTGTGAAACTCACACTACACTGTGAGGGCCACACTACACTACACTGTGGTAATCACCTTTGATTATATTAGGTGTTAAGGGGTTGACAATTCAAAGCTTCGCCTGGACATGGGAAGACTTGGTCTTAAGAATGTCAGTCAAAGCTCTGTGTTTCATATTTCAAAATGTCTCTGGAATATATAAGGTTCAAAGTAGCTGTGGGCCTTTGAATTTATGGCTAAAATATTCAAGTGGATGCAGATGTTTGTTTTCATCTCTCCGCGTTAAGCATCCACCAGCCGTGATGCCTAATGCACCGGTATGGATTTCAAATTGCTTGTCCGAACCATGGATGACCAAAAACAGGTTGATTAACTCTGCCTTTAATTTGCTGAATGCTAATTCATGTTCACTTTCCCATCTGAACTTTATATTCTTCTCTGTGAGGCTATTCAAAGTAACAGCAATTAGAGCAAAGGCCTTGATATGGCGGTGGGAATCACCAGAAGCGCCCATTAATCGTTGAGCCTCACGTGCTGTCCTTGGCGTAGGAATTTCAGTAATTGCTTTGCTCTTTTCTGGGTCTGGCCTAGTTCTGTCAGGGGCCGATAATGAAACCAAGAAATCTGAAAGATGTTGTTGGTAATTTACACTTTCTGGCCTGCAGTTTCAAACCTGCCTTATCCAGAAGTGACAAGGTCTGTGGTAAGTCATTAAGATGTGCGTATGATTAAGATAAGCCAGAGAATGCTTTCCAAGGACAGGACTCAGAATAAAGTCGATGGCTCGCTGGAAGCTACTTGGAGCCATCTTAAGTCCGAAAACCATTCTCTTCAACAGGCGCAGCTGTATCGCACCACAGAAAGCAGTTTTTTCTGTATCCTTCTCTGCTAGTGAGATAGCCCAATAAACAAACTTAGCATCTAAGAAAGATATTGGTATGGTTTGGTAAGGTTTGTCGAGGAAACGGTACAAGTGTTTCTTGACGCGGGGCTTAGTCATATGATGACCCGCAGCTGGAGCTTTTGGTCATCTGACAGAGGCCTTCCGCTGGCTTACCGGTCCACCCCTTTAAAAATTATGGTCATAGCTCTAACCATTCTTCTAGAAAGGTATTTAGCAGTGTCAGAAAAGTAAAGAAGTTCTTTAATTAAAAGCAATGGTTACCTGTCTATAATCCACACCTGGACAACATGTCTGGTCTGGTTTTTTAACCAGCGTCACTAGAGAAAGCCATGGAGAGGAACTTGGTTCTGTCACTTCCTGTTGCAGCATTGTTTGTCTTGCATATTATAAATTATTTAGAAGTGTACAGCCTACAAGTGGAATTATAAGATATGATTATTGTATTTTACAAAGTAATTAGGTAGTTATATTTTGTTCTATCTGGTTACTGGATAAATGTCGAGGAAGTAATGAGGAGTATAACTTTTTGTGGTAACTTAATATATCTAATAACTTTTATATAATGTAGATTTTTTATGAGAATTATAATTGAATTTAGGATGTGCAGTTTCATTTGCCAATACGTTGATTATATGCTTATTATTAGTGGCAACTACTCAATAATCACGTACAATTATTCCCTGACATATTATTGACACGTTATTATTATTTGATTATTAATCATTAACCATTATATTTTGATAAACATTCTAAAAATTTTCCCCTTTCCACTTCGCTCTCACATACGACACATAAATTGGTGGCAACTTTTATTTTCTTCATATTTCCCCCCCTTATATATTCCCCTTCCTGCCATACAATGGGTGGCAAACACTGTATGCAAGTAATTGTATAGAATTATTTATGGTTGTGTTCTGACTGTCATGGCTGGCAGTGTTCTGACTGCCATGGTTGACTGTGTTTTGAGTATCATGGTTGGCAGTGTTCTGACTGTCATGGCTGGCAGTGTTCTGACTGCCATGGTTGACTGTGTTTTGAGAATCATGGTTGGCAGTGTTCTGAGTGTCATGACTGGCAGTGTTCGCCTCTGAACACAGAATAATCGTAGAGAATCTTGTCTAGGAGTAAAAAAAAGTGGGAAGATATTGATTACTAGAACCATGTTGCTGTCTGTCACTCGGGGGATGGGTAGGGGAAGGGGGAGTTCAGAAAGGGGTGTGGGGGAAGAGGGGATTTGGGGGTATGTTGTTCACGAGCAGCACGTTGCTTTGAAGGGGGGAGGGGGATGTTGGGGAATTGGGTGGGGGTTGGGGAGAGGGAGGCTGGGGGGAGGGGGATGTCACCCTTTCACATAACTCATTTTATATTTTTTTCTTCTCTATCGGGGGCGCGACGAGTACAGTAAGAGAGAACTCGATGAGTGTTAGAGGTCCCCGACTCTTCAACGCCCGCCCTCCTTGCATAAAGGGAAATAACCTAAAAAAAAACCTCATGTTGCCTTCGAGAGAGGGAACTGGAAAAGTTACTTAGATCAGTTCCTGACCAGGCGGGCTGTGGTTAGTAGGTTGGGCTGCGAGCGGCCAGCAGTAACAGTCTGGTTCATCAGGCCTTGATCCATTGGGAGGCCTGCTCTGGGACCGGGCCGCGGAGGGGGAGCTAACCTCCCGGGAAGCGTCCTTCAGGTATCGTAGTGCATATCACTGGTACCTGTCACCAGTACCTACGACATCGGTAAACACGGCTTCCTTCCATAGCATTAATTTAAAGAAATTCTTCCAAGAAGGTCCTGAGGAGGGAATTGACTCTCAGTAATCAGGGGGACATGAGGACTTGGCCTGGATAGTCTACCTGGGATCTACAATAGAGCGAAAAGCTGGTACAGGAAACGAAAGTCAGATAGCACCAGGGGGAGACTGCCACAGAAGAGGAGTATGAGAAAAAAGCTGTTGGCGACGGTATTCAGAATATTTTTAAAGTCATCAGATAACTGCGATACGATTGAAGGCTCAGTGAAAGAGGTGCTTGCGTCCCCCACAGCCTCCAGTCCTGATGGATAAAGTACACAAAGGCAGTATAACACGATCCTTTATTTACGACGTTTCACTCACGCAGTAACTTGTAACTTGACAAAGCCCACGCTTTGTCAAGTTACAAGCAGAACTAAAGCTCACTGCATGGGCGAAACGTCAATAAAGGATCGCAATATACTGCCATTGTGTGTCTATCCATCGTGCCGGTATTGTATACCATTCCTCTCCAAACCTAATACTGATTCTACTACAGACTGTATTACAGATTCAGTAGCACATGAATCAGTTGCAATCACCGGAAACAAATAGGTACCCAACCCAGACACAATACAACAGGGCTATCAGAAAATCTAAGTGTGTCGGCACTACGCCTGGGAGATTTTGCAAATATGGACCAACTGGAAATAGGAATGGAATTTGATCGCCCCAAAAAAAGTGCCGTACTCTCCGGAATGAAAGAGTGTCATTCCAAGACTGTATAAACTATACTTTCATCCTATAGTGCACTTGCTATATTGAACACATCGACTGCAGGCTGAGGGACTGATTACCTCAACTCCTC